GTCATATCGGTGACCCCGCGAGGCAGCAAAATAATACACGACAACGATTATTAAACCAACGCCTTGCCCCGAAACGACGACGACGACGACGATGAGAGAAAGAGAGAGACAGCAGCGTGTTTTCTGCTCTGTCGGTATCGAAATGTGACGTGCCCTCGCTTTTGATTATCTTCACGCTATAAATCACGCGATACGTGGACCGTAGAGTACGCCTCCACGTGGAACGATATGTCAACTAGGCTTGGACTAGTGTACAGAGGACCGAAAGTACCGAAGCTCTTTCTTCTTCACCCTTCTTTTCTTTTTTTACTTCTCAATGATTCCTGAACCTTCTTATCACTCGTGATACGAATAAATCGGTGCTATGTTTCTATAAGTGTGTCGACAAGTAAATGGTATTATAGAACAACAACGGATAGAAATGTTCCCAGGTAGCACATGACGTCTCGAAGACGTCCATTTTACGGCTATTTTCGATCTAAGGCGCCTTTAAGCCGTTCTTAAGGCGTCATTGGGCGTTATGTGCTATCTGGGTTTATGTAGATTGGTACATCCAATAATAAACAGATAAAGTTCCATCGGATATATTATTCTATCGATTGATTGGAACGTGAAAAATAGTATTGTCTACAAGTAACGGACTCCTATGGATAAGAAATTCAGCTTATAAGTTATACTTTAAGGAAAATTTGTTGATTGTGTGAGAAATACAATTCTTGAAGCTGTTAATAAAATGCAAATAGGTCAAAACAAAATCACAGTTGTAGGAAAATAAGGTATGATATACAGGTGTAGGTTTTTTCCTACCTAGTAAATCAAATTTTAATTTGCTTTATGTGACAAATCACTGACACGAATATAGTATGATGCGAGATAAACCAAGCAATACAGGCAGGCGTTATGTATCTTCATGCAAAGAAACAATAAAATAAAGTTGTAGGAAAGGCTTACCCTACTGCTCGCGGTAGTTCGTAATTTTCCGGGAAAGAAGTGTCTCTTTGATTGAATCAGCTGTACATCGTGTTGAAGTACATCCGACGCCATCACACGACGATGTCCTCAACCAAGCAGGATGATATAACTCTGTAATACCGACAAGATTGGTAAACAATTTCAAAACCGTTTGAAATATGTACATACGGTACATACATACATACCTACTACATATGTATGTAGATATCACCACCATCGAGGTTTAAGAATAGTTTTTTCATATTATGGGAGTTGGTGGCCCACCTAAATTGCAGTACCGACACCTTAAAATTTAGTTTAAATAATCTCAAATTAATACAATACCTAGGTATAGGTTAGTCTTCGGTTTCACTGTGTACCAATTAATGTACAATTTACGTATTTCTGATTCAATTTGTGATCTTTGCGACACACCACGAGTTCAATAATTGTTAATTTGTACGTATTAACGGACATTTAATAAGTTATTTTTTTGGATAAGTGACGAATACATATATATTTTTGGCATTATGTTCTTTCAAGTGTTACATTCGTCGTTTAAACTGGAGTGGTGCACATGTTGTTCCCGCCAAATCGTATTACTCGGGGATATACCGCTCTGACCAATCAGCTTCTCGTAATCTCCCGAAGATAGCCGAATGAACCGCTTGGGACCAGCCGAATGTAACCGAAGTGTCATTCGTTTCGGAGAATTTGATGCAGTAAGACGTAGGAGTGCTCGTGCCAAAGTGAGTGTTTGACAATTACTTTTCATCTTTCTTCATGTATATTAATTACTAGTACCTTCATTAGCTCTCTATCGTTACTGTCCTTTAATATTTATCCTATTTAGACTAAATAATCACAAATTAATACAATACCTAGATATCGGTTTAGTCTTCGGTTTCACTGTGTACCAATTAATGTACAATTTACGTATTTCTGATTCAATTTGTAATCTTTGCGACACACCACGAGTTCAATAATTGTTAATTTGTAACGTAACTATTCTTAATGTAGTGTAATTACTTAAAGTTTATGTTTATTTTCTGTTTCAGAGTTTCGGTTTGAAAGTACGCACTACCGTTCTGAGCATCGCTGGCTGCCTTCAAACGGAATTCGGCGGGAAATTGGTGAACTCTGGTAAGTTATTATAATATTTATTATAACAATAAAGTGACACTTCATTACTTATTTTTATATTGTTTTTAACCGTAAGTGAAATAATCGCGATTTCGTGGTTAGTGTTAAGATCAAATGAGAATTTTTTCGAGCATTTTTTTCAATTCATATATTTAGATGAAGCATTCAAAATAGCTTCCTTGAATGTTACAAAATTCAAACTACAATACTTCGAGACATTCAAATTGGAAATGTTTGTGATTTACGTATATCGGTCGTGAAATTGTATTAAAATAGATTATAGATTATTTCTCCTGTCTTTCTATATGAGATTATTGTACTTGCATTTATATATAGTTTTTGGTGTAAATTTGATTAACACAAGCTGCATACTTTATCATGCTTTTTATCGAAAGCATGCATAAATAATGCAACTTTGGTACTTGTAATGATTTTCTGAATATGTAGAAAAGCGGGACAGTATAGTTATGTATTATGCTACAATGTAATTCATAAATATTATAAACTGAATAATTCGTGTTATATTTATCAGTAATAATAATATTCAGTCTAATAAATTTGTCTTGTTTTTTTTTTCAGTTCCTTTAAATGTTGCATCAGTGAACACTAAATCGGATGTCCTAATACGAAGTTCCACCAGCAAAGACTGCATCCACTTCTATCATCGGGTGAGTCTTTGCATGCCTTTTTTATTATTACAGGGCAACTGGGTGTATATATCCTAAATTTGGCGAGTACATTGAATGTGGGTATGCTATCATACCTTCAAATAGTAACATTGATCAATTGTATTTCCTAGCTAGTCTTCTTATAAATAGCATTTTCTATTACTCATACATTTAATAAACATTTTATAATTGGACAAAGCAGTATTAATGCTCTTAATGTTCAATGCCTAGTCTAGATTCCATTGTGTATATGAACCTCTATAGGCAATATATTGAATACATATATGAGGAATGAAACATTAGTGGAGGAATGTGACAACCTCCGACTTCCTCCTTGCACAATAAATCAATGTAATCACACAATGATAATCAAAAATGATATCCAATGAGAATATCATTGAATAGCTTCATCTAATTTCATATTTTATAATTTTCTTAATGACTGCATTCTATTAAATTCATAAGTACCCAATCTTTGTTTTTCAATTTTTCTTAATACAAAGTTGAGTCATTTTTATTGCATATTAAATGAAAAAGAATCAAAGGATATTGGCCTGTTAAAAGAACAGCAACTAATAAATTTTTTCGTCAGCATTTTGAGGATAATTATCCCGTGTGCGCGGGAGTTTTTTCATTAGGTATTTAGTAACTTAATGTAGTGAACGGGAAGCACCTGTCGTATTTTTTAATATTCTCGAGAAAATTTGTTAACATTAAATAGTTAATGTTGCGAATGATAAGTACTCACATTAACAGTGGTACTTTGTTTAGTTTCAGGAATCGTTGTGGGATTAAATTTCTAATTTATCACGTGTTATTATACCCTTTTATACTTACTATATGTAAACATATTCTTTTGAGTGTCCTTTTCACGAATTAAGGTATCATCTAGTTACGGTTCGCTAATTTAAACTTAAGTTAACATCTGAAGATATCTCTTTGTGTGAAGATCATCTGAACATATGTCTCCGCTTGAAGAATATCAGAAGATTTTTATTATTGCGAAGATCACATGGATATTTTTCTTCACGTGACAATCACCAAGAGGCCCGTGCGAACTTAAAAAATAACTCATTTTGTTGCATATGGGTTGACCAACTGGTAGGTGGTGTGAGAGAGGGGGTGGGGGGTCGATGTGTACTCATAGTAGCCTTCTGGCAATAAATCGTAGAAATCGGCATTACGCTTGATGAAGTATTGTAAATATACCAAGCTATTATTATTTCACTTTCCTCGTGAATTCTATACACAGACTTAGTATAAAGGATTGATCCATATACTAAGTCCGTTTACTGATCCCTCTGGATTCTCCGGAGAATTCAGACATCAGTCGTGTTTTGTCTTTGCCTGGCGTAGATGAATAGGTATATTTGGATTGAAAGATATTCGTACTGTAACTGTTAATCGCTTTTCGGGAGTCTAGTGTATATATTTTTATTTGATTTTTTATTTTCATTTAAAATCTCTGTTGAGATTAAGGTCTGCAATACAAGATGATATAATATTTTAATTACATTACATATGCTCATTGAGTAAACTTATAACATTTGTATGTTCATATATATCTACTGTAGGTTACACTTAATAATAGCTTGGACAACAACATGATGAATGGTAACTCTATTGCGATAATCCCCTTCGTTTGAACGTATGTTTCTTCGTTGCGATTAATTTAAGTTGTTGTGTGTGTGTGTGTGTGAGTGTGTTCGATGCGAGTGTACTAAGATTTAAGTTGATTATAACGAGACTAATTGTAAAAGGTTGATAGATGTTGAACTTGTGATTCCGTCTATTTTCCTCGGGTTTCCATTCGCATTGCATCTGCAGCTTTGTAATGAATCGTACGGGAGTTAAACGCGACATTGTATGTATTGCGTCCTGGGTGCCCTGCGTGACGGAGTGACGTGCGCGTACGTGTGTGAGAAATACGTGGGAGCGAGGGATTTTCCCAGTTATTAATTATCGTTGCGGCAATTATCGAACGTATATTAGTCTACTGATATCGTCTGTGGTCTATCTATCCATACATAGTAGTACTACCACCTACCGTTGGGTGTGTCTTATTAATTGGCTAACAGTTTGGATTTTTTGCCATCGATGGCACCACGTGCCATGTTGATCAACCATTTCTCAGTCACGAAACAATCATAACCTGACAATCATTGTGTTGCACGAGGTGTTAGTCGTGATTTTAGTATTTGGTACAATGATGAACGTGTTATAAATTTAAGTGTGAAAATGAGTGGGTCTGAAATTGACGGCGGTCCAACGGCAACTGGACCAGTAGACAATGCATGGTCGTTGAAAATCCCAGCTTTCAAGGCAGAGGATAATCCCCATCGTCTGTTAGAAGAAAGTTCATTTGCGACTTTGTTCCCAAAGTATAGAGAAAAATACTTGAGAGAACATTGGCCGCTTGTCCAAAAAGCTTTAGAAGAGTATGCTGTCAAAGCAGAGTTGGATTTGCTTGAAGGTAGCATGACAGTGAAAACCACAAGGAAAACATGGGATCCCTATATTATTGTTAAAGCACGTGATGTGATCAAGCTGTTGTCTCGATCTGTTCCCTTTGAACAAGCTGTTAGAGTATTACAGGATGACATTGGCTCTGACGTCATAAAAATATCTTCATTAGTGAGAAACAGAGAGAAGTTTGTGAAGAGACGTCAGAGGCTCATTGGACCTAATGGATGTACGTTGAAGTCTATTGAACTGCTGACGAACTGTTATGTACTAGTACAAGGACAAACAGTGGCTGCTTTAGGTCCCTACAAAGGTCTCCAACAAGTGAGACGTATAGTAGAAGACACCATGAAGAATATCCACCCAATTTATAATATTAAAGCATTAATGATCAAAAGAGAGTTAGCCAAAGATCCAAAGCTGCAGAATGAAAACTGGGAGAGGTTTCTTCCAAAGTTCAGTAGCAAGAATGTCAGCAAAAGGAAACAACCTAAGAATAAGAAAGAGAAGAAACCATATACTCCATTCCCACCACCGCAGCAGGAGAGCAAGATAGACAAGATGATTGCATCTGGTGAGTTCTTCTTGAAGGAAGAACAGAAGAGAGCCAAGAGGAAGAGGGAACAAGAAGCCAGACATGAGGAGGCTGAAAAGAAGAGACAGGAACGCAGGGCTCAGGTATTTATACCACCTGAAGAAAAGCCCACAGAACAGAAACAAGAGAAGAATGATATAAATCTGGAAGAATTCAAGAACAAAGTGAAGAAAGGATTGAAGAAACGTAGTGTACAGTCTTAATAATTCTGTTAGACTACAAAAGACTTGCTTGTTGCGAGTAAGTTTTGCAGACTAAGCCCTTATACATGAAGTTTTTAATAACATGAGATATGTTATTTATTCGTGGATACTTTTTATAGGAATTAGTTAGATACGAGCTGTTGGAATGATTCCATTGTTTTATTAAAAAACCTTGTTCCTAGGAGTGCTATAATATTGTTTTCTTAACATAAATGTTTATTTATATATACATAAGTATATACGTAGTGTATATATTTATATATATTTCATCCAGGTTTAGTATAATACATTTGCAAAATACAGAGCCATAAAAATTCAATGTGTACACTATGAAGACAGGTATTTAGACTCTGAAAACGAACGTCCACTGTGTTTGTCAGAATTATTTTATTAGCGGAGAGATGTGAGTTCGTTACAATTTTTATGTAGAGTCAACGTAAAAGAATGAACAAACGGTTCGCGATTGAACACTTTGGAAGGAAAAATGGTCGATTAAGTTCGAGTTATATCATAGAACCGTTGATCGTTAAAGTGTCCGACCGAGGTCTAATTATACCGAGTCTTCAATGCACCAATGTAACAATTGTAACACAAACATCGGATAGTTTGAAAATAGCGAGCATTGAACATTCAACGTTTAATATTAAAAATCACTTTTGCCTCGTATCTGAAACGCGTGTTAATGTAACATACTGTATAAAGCTGGTTCAAAAGTGATGTTCAATGATTTAGAGATATATTCCGCGTGTCAGAACTAAAGATGAAATTTCCATAAGCGTCAAGATCCTTTGAATTCGAGGGTATGATGATTCTATAAACTGAGATATCACTTCTGAATCAGCCTTGTATATAATCCACATCCTTAGAGGCAGCGTCTTAACCGGATATAAAATCAATGAAGAATTCAACGCATAGATTACAATATAGACCGGAAAATATTCGTTTCAATGTACAGCGTACAATAAGGTTCGGATTAGTGTAATGCCTTATTATCATATTAATATTAATCATCTCCATTATAAGTCCTTTCCATCATCCCTGTGGACACTCTATTTCGTCTACTCGCAGTGGATCTCGTTGGCTTTTCTAGAGTAACAGTTCCCTCCTCGGTTTACCAAAGCCCTTCCACTAATCTGAACCTTACTATATTATTCTTATTCTACTCGCGTCGATTGAGTCGTTCGGTCTCTCAGACACACGTGTTCAACGTCGACGTCGATCACTATATATCGTAACGTTATGTTCGAGTCGCTCGTTTATCTTACAGCTTACAGATTCATGGAAGTACGTTTCGTTAGCTTATACTTAGAAGTATCGTAGACACATTATGTACAATCATTACGCGATTAATGGTTGTCTCGTTACTCGCCAAGCGCGCGCGACGAAAGCGGTGAACAGCGAGGTGTTCGCGTTGACGGGGCGGAGAAAGTGCTACTCGGAAACGCCTTAGGACGGGAGAGAAAGAGGGAGGGACAATTAATCGAATACGTAAAAGTATTTACAGCGCATCGATTCGCAAGCCAGGCCTGTTTTGCTCCTCTTAAATCCTATCCGTGGCTCTAAATTACTCTTGGAAGGATTGGATGACACGTTAATATACATGACATAAGTTTCAAAGCAGGATAAAGATAAAAAACACAAAGAATACTGATCATTGAAGAAGTTTCGTTAAAATTTAGCAAAATGATTCGCTTTCGAAGTTTTAAATAGTTTTTAAAATGAAAGTTATTGAAAGAATGATGTTTAAGAAATAATTTACGAGAACAATCTTCGGATTTTGTTGATAAAAGAGTTTTCAATACGACATCGTCTAGAACAGAAAGAATCCTCTAAACAATTCCTTATCATAGAGCTGCGCATGTCCAGGCGATCAGAGGGCGCCTGTGGTATCATACAAAAGCTTATAATATTTAATAGCATAATTCCCATTCATGTATATATGTATAAGTATGTAGTTTCAATGCGAAATGACACAGCGGTAGACCATTTGTCGTCGGGAAAGTGTGAGTGTACAAAAGATCATTTTCCGCCGAGTATTGCTGCGTTAGTCGCATCGTTTCCCGCCTTGCAATCGACACGACGCGTTGCCCATCTAATTACAGATTCACTTAAGTAAGAGAACAAGAGGGGAGACTCTCTTTTTAACGCGTAGAATTCTGTTAATATTGAAACGCGTCGAGTCGCCCGAGCGGGAATACAGCAATCTCCAACTATTCGCACAACCAAGTAAGTGTACAATTTGTTATACAAAAATAAATCTCTTTGTGTGAATCGTGTCGGCCGTTTGATGTGTAGTGTCCGATTCACGCTGCGATTCGTCCGCTCGATCGGAGAGACAATTAACGACGCCGCGGTCGCGTATACACGTTTAACATTCGGGTCAGCTAAAAACAAGATTCGCTACGGTCGGATATCATTTCGAGATCTCGATCGAGGCCGTGACAAATAGGGGAACTGATAAGAAACGGACCATGCGGGCCCCCGTTTCGATCGTCCTCGATTACTAAAACTGCTGAAACGGATACTTCAGCTGCTCGTGAAGTGACTTCACCATCAAACAAGATATTTCGATGCTTGTTCGGCGGTTTCGTTCGTGTTCATTTAGAATGATACGGTATCAGTGTATTTTTCTCAGGCTCCTACTCTCTTCACAATGATATTCGCGTGCAAGTAACCGAACAATGGAAATCCTTTGAGATCATGAACATTAATACGTAAATGCATTTTTCTGAAAGTACATCGGAATGAAAAGGTCTTCGAGATTAGTCACCTTGCCGACGAATCATCGGATTCTAATATATTGTCCATCGTTGTGTTTAAACAACAATATATTAGATATCGTTTAAACCGTAGTCCGTCCAAGAAACATACCGAGTTACGAAGCAATTCCATCCGCGAAAGGGTATTCTCATCGATTCTCATCAATCCTCTTTCGTCTTCCTATCACACAAACAAGTCTATAAATGAAAGCATACTGATATATCTAACAACCTATCGATCTAAATATAAAAAATTCACTCGTATCTCCTATAGTCAGGAATTCAATTCCAAGCTTTCTGGTAATCTCACTCGGGGATACTTGATCCGTGGTACTCAGCCCTCGCATCCTGTTTACCATCGTGATACTCGCGAATGCTCGCGGGAACAGTCTCGTTAAACGCATGAGTATATCTCGGGTGATCACTGTTTCCCAGTGGAGGGAAAATTGGGTTTTAGTCGTGGTCCATTTCAGTGGCGACACGGGACATTCATCGACCGGTTCGATCGAGTCTGTTCGATTTCGGATCGACGAGATCCACGGCGGCCCGGATCAGATCGATCCGGCTTCCGCCGATCAGATACCGCACTCGTTGTGTCTTTCGTGAGTGACGACGACATCGCGATCTTCACGAGCCACCGGCCGTACGCGCGAGCTAGTGATTGTGATTGTAGGGATGCCACCTCTGCGTCTCGGCGTTCGAGTCGCATTTCTCCGCGGTGATGCCCCGCTGCGCGTGGTATCTCGAGTCCATGCACACCGGGATCCTCGAATGACGGATCAGACCGCCCTCCAGGTGCCTCCATTTCTGATTCTCGCTGCCGTCGCAGATTTGCATCAGCAGCGTGGTACCCTTCGCGTAGACCGGCAGGGTCAGGCATAGGTCGTGATGCTTTATCAGACCGTCCTTCGTCAGGCCCCATTCCTGAAGAAATCGATGCGTTAGGTACTTGGACAAGTGACAAGGTATAGGATAATATACATCGCATTATAAAAAGTTCAGCTGATTTAGATAATTCTACACTTGGATTAGTGGAGACTTTTCAATAGTTTCATCGGCTTGCAATATATTTTATTCTACTCGGAGAGAGAGAGAGAGTAAACTTGCTATCCGCTGCACTCTCAGTACAATTTAACTAGACTTCTCGCGAACAGGAATGGATCGTGTCTCGTCCAACATAAATAACCAAGGGATAATGTTTAAAATATACATATTATTTTTATTTCACCCGGGTCACTCTCGTAGCGAAGGGTTAGCCCGTGCTCGGATCCTTTAATTCCACGGGAAATCCTTGCCGTGGTAATTGTAACGTAAAATTGAATACGCGGATTAATACCGGCACGGGGTCAGAACGAGAAGAGATGTTTCCGTCGAAACAAGCGACGCGTACGATTCGACAGTGGGACGGGTTTCCAGGGGGTTTATTTAAGGACACACACGCGTCGGTTGAATAATGAACCCTGGGGTTCGTACTTACTTGGTTACCGCCGGTATCGTGACACGGATAAAGTCCCACGTTCCCGTCTAGTAGATGGCCCATGCTATCCAGGCACGCGGCACCCTGCTTCAGGGATCCGCCGGGGCCGCCCTCGCTGGTCGGTATAACTAATTCGGGATACACGTTTTTCAGATACCAGCTGAAGGGCTTGCAGCGCAATTTCCGCTTCAGCTCCATCCTGTCCTGAATACTAAAACCGGGGGTGGGGGAGGAAGGAACCGGGACGGTACACGTTTTATTAATACCGGTCACGTGCGCTGACGCGCGTTTTAATGAAATCGACTATCGGTATTTCGTCCCGTTCCCGCGCCGTAAATCGAGACTCAGGGCGCGCGCACTCGCGGAAATAAGACGGCCCAGAAATTAGTTCGTGACAAACGATCTCGTGCGGGAGAACGAAACTTCTTTGTTTTCCACTGGATGCTTAATCTTCGGAATGTCGCTTGTAACGCGAACAAATCGAGTCCTCGAAAGTCGAAAAAGTCCCTAAATTTTCCTTGTAACAGCTTCGGTATATGGAAGAAAACACCGATAGTCGAGTAAATTTTTGCAAGTTACAAGTAAATCCTCGAGGAATGTTCGACGGTTCTTCGGCACTGACAGGGAGAGGTCCCCAGGTGGTAGCATTCACTTTTTAAAGAAGTTTGGCAAGTGATAAAGCTTGGAATTCTGAAGCCAACGATATTTGTTCCAGCTGCATGTGGCTATTAGTTTATGAGATATTTCACGTTCAGTGTTCACCTTCGAACACTCCTCGAGAATTTATTCTATGAGGGAAAAGTTGTCGATCTAGAAGAATTTCATCAGCTGTGTTAGTTTCACCCTTAGAGACCACACTCTAGTGCGAATTTCCACCAGGTGAACATTGTTTCGTCTGTAACATTCTATTTGGCTAGCATATAACGGCTTCTTTCAGTTACGATAAAAAAAGTATTTCTCACGTTTGCAATTACTACCATTGAATTTCTGAAACTTCACCCGTAAAGTATATGCTATGATTTCAAGTTTGCTTTAATTCTCTGGGTGTCGTGTTTATGTACGCTCAGGTGGGGTGTGGTTTCTGATGGTTAAGATTTCATCGGTTATGAATATCGCGTTCTCTGGACCGTTGAACGTTACGTAAACGAGAATGTACGTTGCGTATGTGTATCAAAGACACTTACTTTCCATAGGGGATGTTACGAGCCAGCGGCACCGCGTTGTAGTAGAATTGCTTGTAATCGTCCATCCACACCTCGGCCGCTCGTCGTGTGTTTCGGGCGAAAACGTTACCGCTACCCCCAGGGAACGAGTAGGGGTGGCGTTTTCGAAACACGTGACCGACTCGCGAACACGGAATAATCTCCAGGCTGCCGCCGCATTGCCACACCCGGAACGATATCTCTGGAAAAGGAGGTGGAGTGGTTTCGTCGAGTAGACACGAAACGGTACGGATCACGGTACACAGTAGAAGCTCGTTTATTGCAGGTTATTGCCTCGAACAGGATGATTCAATAAGAACTATTATCTAAAATAACTCGTTACCTCTCGATTGTATCAGAAGACGTATTAATGAATTATGTAACATTTTAAGGGAAAAATTTGATTTCTTTATATTTGATTTTTTTACATATCAAGGGGACCTTGAGTTTTTTCGAGGTCAATGCATCTTTTTTTTAATACCACGCTGTTGTCGATGGAATTAAGCGATGTATAACATGATGGTATTTAAAAAAAGATGCATTGACCTTTAAAAAACTGAAAGTCACCTTGATAGCTAAAAGAAAATAAGATTTAGAAAAATCAAGTTGTATCCATCTGATGCGTCCCTTAAAGTGCTACATTCATTACAACGTTTCTTGATACAACTGATAGGTAACGAGTTATTTCAGATAGTCGATCTTATAGACTCATCCAGTATGTGTACCGTAAATATTGATCTGCGAATGAGAAAACTCACCGAGATTCTCACCGCCCCAGACGTCCATCTGGGTGTCGTACTTGCCGAGCTTCTCGAAATACGTTTTATTGATAACGAACAGACCGCCCGCGATCATCGGTGTTCTGATCGCTTGCGTGGGATCCTTTTGCCTGGCTTGCCTCTCCGTCTGGCTCAGATACTCCCACTTGAACACCAGGCTCCAGTCGAAACCACCCCTGAGATCAGCAGACGCTCCTGGAGACGTGATAATTATCAAATTGCAATTTTTTATGAATCGAATGTTGAAACACGTAGTTCACTTTGGTTAGTAACTGACCCTAAATTTACTCGATAAAAGGGTAAGAGAATTTAGAAATTTAGTTGCACAGAGGTAGTGAGTGATGTATAAGAATTTGAGAATAGAGAGTGATGTTTCTCGTGTAAGATTACCATAAAATTATAAAGTACCGATATATTGGAAGGTATCCATGCTGATCACGTCAATAACAGGGCACACGACCCTCGTGGGATCCTCGGCCACCCGTTCCAATAATGGTTCCAGCCAGTCGGCATTGCATTCGCAATGCGAATCCAGGAACGTTAGCACACTTGCGGTTGCCGCGTCCGCGCCTCTCACCCTCGATCTCATTAAGCCTTCCCTCTTTTCGTTCCGTATCACCCGCACCTTGTGTATCCTCGACAGTTCTTCGCCATCCTCGGCTACGGAGGAAAGACAATCAGTATTTTATTCACCTAGGAACAATGTACGTCACAGTTACAGCTCTAAAAAAATAATACGCCTTTGATGTTCCGATAAAATAGAGACACGTCTAAATTAACCTTGTCAGAGGATGATACTAGATGTATTCTCGTGTAATAGTCATCGAGCTTCTATTTCATCGGAGTTACAGCTTTATTCTCGGATAAAATTCAGCTGATCGAGCGTTCGAAGGAATTTCGTACCAGATATATATCACGATCTACTATCTATGAATATTATACTAAACATCGAGTATAGTTATATTTAGAATATCAATAATTAAAGCTTACGATGATCACTGAAGTCGTCCACCAGAATAATTTCCTTGATGAGATGCTCAGGGCTTCTGTTCAATACGCTGAAAGCAAAAAATAGGCACACATATTCTTCCGCACGGTTTTCCTCACGGTAGCGTATCCACGTCGAAAATTAAACAGTTCTAATTTCATCGAGTGCCTTAATCCCATCCAGACGTTCTCTCAAAAAACAACGATCCTCCCTTAAATAAGTTTTCTACTACTCGGCCCCCGCCCTTCCCGTCCACTGAAACTTGCTTACCTTCCCGTTAAGAGAAATTCTTTTCCGGGAGGGAAGTTGCCTCGTGATCTCGTTCGGCTCGCGTTACGTCACACCGCCGGCAAAGTGTTTCAATTAAAGAAGCTCGCGTTCCACAGGGAAATCTCTGATTCCCGTCGCTGCCCCCGTCGAGTGTATATATTATTTTTGGCGATAATTAAATCTTGTAAAGATATACAGTAAATCCTCGATGATTGCTCGAAACCTCCTCGAGGCACTAAACATTAAATATTTCATAAACTAATGGCCGCATGCGGCTGAAACAAATATCATTGGCTTCAGAATTCCAAGCTCTATCGATGTACTAAACCTAATTAAAAAGTGATTGTTACAACCCCTCCTTGTCGGCACCTAGGAGCCTTCGAACACACTCATCTAGGATTTACTGCATTATTTTCGGAAACGATGATAAAGTTATAAATGTCTTCTAACTCGTCGACGAATCATGTATAAGCGTAGATATGATAATTCGGTACACGACGAATCGTGTCTTTCGACACTTTGACTATCCAGACTTGGTGAATGTCTCCCCTGAGGCAACGTGCGCGGTTCGCGAGTATATTCTGATTAATAGCTCCAAATGAAGTTGTTGAGGTTGTATTCCGGTATGTTATTCACCCTTTTCCCAAGACGATCCGAGTGTGATTAATGTTATTAAAAATACCACTCCGATTTCCTGATATCAGATTAATCCAGCTCACTGACGCGCGACCAGCGAATATTCGACGAATTGCCATACGAATTACGTACCCGTGGGATTCTCGATTTTTTTTTCTCGCAGGCAATATCGTTATCTCGTGGGTCGAGGGAGGCGGGATCACGACGCATCACAACATCCTTCCGCGTTCTCACGCGACCCTTCCATATATCGCGCGTGATTTATCACCATCAAACCTGAAGCGATTATAATACGCGGGAGCGAGTAATGGCCGGTTGGAAGGGCGGGGAACGATGGAACGACGATTAGAAAATTCCATTGGGTCCTAGGGTGCCCTCCCCCTTCCGCTTCTGACCCAGGCATCGAGAATTTTCTCGCGTTTTCCCGCCGCATCGTCCGAGGCGATGCGCATCCCCGCGATCGCACCCCGCCACCACTTCCGCACGTACGCGCGGGAATTTATCCACTCGCGATTACTCGCTTCCCGTTTCCGGCAACGAGGAAATATTAATCTCGTTTCGCTGAATTCGACGTTTTTCCATTTTCACGGGGAACGTGAACGCGACCAGCTGTAAACTGCATCCCAGGCCGCCCTCCCTCACCCCCTTTTTTCGCTCTTTATTATTCGAACGGTGTTGCGATCGCGCGGACGGTAGCCGAGTTGAACGAAGGATTTCGATGATAAATTTAGGTAATTTAACAGAGGGTGGAGGGGTGTAATTTACCTCACGACGGTCCGGAGTAACGTCGATCGAGCCTCGTTGTGGAACGTGATTATCACCGAGGTTGGGGGTAGGTCCCTCCTCCATTGCTTCATTCGACACCTGGAAGAAAGAGAAACGAAATTTTTTCATGTCAGAATATTTTATGGGATTCGCTTATTAGTCGAGAAATTAATCGTTTGCATTCTGTACATTTTTGGCGCTTGTAAGTAGCCTATTCAAGGGGTTTTAGGCGATATTTTGTAAATCACAGTACTTTGGAGAAAATGTAACAGTTTTTCGAAAAATCATTTTTCATTCAAGCGTTTGGCGGTTGCACTTGCAAACTGCACAATGAATTTCACTAAAATTCTGAACGGTTATATTCGTAATGTTTACAAAACAATAATAGCAGGTAGGGAATATACGTACGGAACTTATTAAAGTAACGGTATTATAATGTGTTGACAGTATACAGCTAAGTAGTTGGAGTAGGTCACTTTTATTTGTTGTGCCAGCCACGTTAGAGCGCCAAGGGTTAATAAATTTGAGAAATAAAAGGAAAAATTGATTTCCATAGGTTCTTCAAAAATTTCAATAACAGTCAAGGATACTTTCGTAAAGAAGCAATCACCAGTTATATGTATTAGATCAAATGGCAATGTCCTGTAATTCGATATAAATTAGTAACGAATTCCATTAAAATCTTAAGACAGTACCGTAAAGTAGGAAGCAGGTAACGATCCCAGGGAAACAAAACGAGATACCTCGCATCGAACGAACAACGTTGAAGTCGAAATTAAAAAAAGAATCAAGGAAGGAATACCCGTGACGATGAAAGGATACAAAAAAAAGAAGCGTCTTCTGAAATGGGAGAGGTCTGATACCTTAATTAGGTAAGGGAGCCTAGAATCGAGATTCACGTAATGAGCTTTCCAGTGAAACATCAGACGACGATAATTAGGTCATCAACTCGTCGCAAGATCGATAGATGCTTCATCGGGTTTCTTCCCCGGCGTTATCTGTCGCAACGTTTATTAATATGCTTATCGCTACTATTATAACGTAACGTTTTATCTTTCTTTACCTATCGGGTCCAAATAACAATAAACAGTGCGTTAACTTTACCATTAAAAAAAGAAAATCAACGTTCTCGAAGGACTCAGAAAACAATACATCCGATAAAGAGGTAGTACATACTCGAATTCTGTCACAAAGGAACGTTTAAGAATGATACAAGCTACCATTACATTTTCATTCGACGCAGTCCACGCGACGTTTACGGATGAAACACTCTCTGAAGGGGTTGAGAGACGGCCGGGGTCAACGAAAAGCAAATAGAACGAGGAAGAAAAAGGGGCGGAGGTGTGGGGAGGACGATCGTTTTGGCGCGGCACGCCGACACGAGGGGGTACATAAATGCGACTAGACGGCCAGAACGATCCCAATATGTCAGTCCTACTTTCCCCGAGATAAACTCGAGGAACGTGTACGGAATGCGTCCGCGGGTGTACGGTTGCGCTTTCGAGCGTCCACTCCGACGGTCGAGATTGTAAAAGTTCACTGATGAGATTATCGATCGCGTGGAATTATTACCGCTCGAGGGTGCACCGACACGGAAAATTTACCACTTTCCCGCGGTGCACGGTTTTGTACCTGTTCTCCACCCCCACCACCCGACGGTTTCTCGCGATATTACGAACTTCCGCGGCAGTTCGACCGCAACACTCAGCCACTTTATATTGACGAAAATTATTGGGAGGTGGGTGAAAGTTACGCGGTGGCGACGGTGTATTAATAACGTAAAAACCAAAGAAGGGTGGGTTGGCGTCGAGGGTGCAGGAGACCGGAGGGAACAAGGCTTTAAGACGCGAAGGAAAGGCGATAGACTTGCAAAAGGTTAGAGGGACGTATGTACTATATTGGGTGGTAACGAAAATGTTACACGATGGAAAGGGGATGTTCATCTTTATCTAGTTACTTGACACATTAGATCGTTGGAAACATTATTTCAAAGGCAATCATTCTCTTCAAAAAAATTCTAAAAAAATATATAAAAAAGAGACAATGAATAACATATAAAATATAGGTGAATATTGCAAGACACATTCTACTTTAGTATGTCGACTTAGAAATGGGAGCGTCACGCATATGTGACCCCCGGTAGCGAGTATTAATTTCTATAAAATCAGATAGATTATACGATAAAAAGTATTAACGACAAACTCATTAGCAACAGTGCATTCGATGCACTCGTAATATTATACACCCTGACACCGATGTCATTTAAATTGGAAACCAGGCTCCGAAACGAAATCATTGATTTCACCATTTCCAGCTGTGCCCGCTAATGACAGTACCCTATACCACTTTCGTCCGTTCGAATACACGGTCCTCTCTCTTTCCCCATCCGTTTCTATCGCGCGGCAACACGCAAAACGTTTCAAGAGCTTATTGTTACGTGATTCGCGACAAAGCAACGGCGGGGCGTCGGTAGATTCGAAGTAATTTTATCGGGCTGAGTGTCTGACCTTTCCTCTATTTTCGTCGTGTCGTCCGTGCAAGAACAGGATCGATCAACTAATTCGAGGGACTATAATTTCAGATTAAAGCAACGAACATGAGTGAGTGTCGTGGGGATGGTGGAGGCTGGGGAGGGGGGGGGGATCATATTTGCCGGCGACGAAATTGCAAACGAGCCTTAAAGCGAGCCAGACGGGACGGATCATCCGGACGGTTTAATTCGAAACTTCAATTTCGACGCTGGGTCCCAGCGTTAAAGTGGATAACACCGGCCCGATCGAACTCACGGGGAGAACACACGCATACACGGGACAGAGTCGCGAGAGCATATTTAACGAGACGGGAAATATCGCGAACGGGACGCGCGAATCGTTACGCGGATACGCGAGCACTTCTCGCTCGCCCGCTATTGTAATGATCGGAACAATTCGCATCGCTGTACAGTGGATGGTACGTTTAATCGACATACGAATTTTGTTCGCACGAAATGCTGCATGTACAATTTTCGGTAGGGACCGGAGGACTCTGTCGTTCATACATCCATATTTTAACGATGAAACGTAGAATTTTCATCGTAGAATCTCGTGGACGTAATAGAGGTGATTTAAAGAAATTTTTCTTTCGACTTTCGATTTTTTTTTTCGTTTAATATCAGCGTTTTTTTTTCTCGACAGGAATCCTCTCTTAAAGTCAGACCACAAGATGTATGAATTTTTAGTTACCGCTACAGAGAGGCACCCCGATTAGACGTCTCCACGTTTTCATTCCATTCAGGAATATCCTCTTTTAGTCGCCTACGAGTCGTTATAAGAAGGGTACCATATTTCACGAAATGGTTCGATGCAGGAGGTCGTTAGAGGTCTCGAAAAGGGGGAACGTGTACTCCGTTACGGACGGATTACCGTTCAGTCGCGGGAACGTCAACTTCAATTTCAATTTTCATTTTCGTTACATCGAGAGGGAACCCAGAGCCCAGGTTACAGTTCCATCTCGTCGGCGGCGGAAGCTCCGGCGGATTTATTTTCTGAGCCCTTTTGCCGGCCCGCGAACGAACGTAATACCCCCCGCTCCGTGTCGCGGTTCTTAGAGAGAAATTTATGAAATTTCAGTCGCCGGTCGGATCCTCGGTAATTTTTTATTTCCGAAATGGGGATCGTAAACCATGAGGGGATAGAAACTTCTCGATATAAATCTCCTCAAAACAATGGAAACTATAGGAAATTCCTGGTTTTTCGAAAAATTTGTTTTTTCACCCCACGACACTTCCTGTTTCGCAAAAATCTTCGAGTATACTTTTACCTGTTCTCCATTCGCTTCCACTATACTTCTCACCGATTCTATTTTCAACTGAGCATTATTTCTCCGATCGAAGAGACGAGGAATGCACCGGATATTGGTATTGTCTATTCCTTCGGAGTCAGGGAGAAAGAGATCCATTTCGGGAGCGATACTTCTCACGGAGGAAACGAAATAATACGTGTTCTCGATCCGATGGAACAGAGACGGGGCCACGAAGTGGCGGCCCGATTGAAAAGGTTATTGTGTCCTATTGGATTTATACGAACTTTCAGTAACGATAATCGACGATCTATCCCCGGAACGATGATACCGGTGGGGTTCGATCGTGCCGGCTCGATTAATCGCGTGACAATGCATTTGTAACTGACGCGAGACGGGAAGAGTAATTTCGAATCGAACCGGCCGATTTCGATTTCCGGTGGATACATCGGTGGGGTAGGAGCGAAACGATGTAAATGAACGAGCTCGGGGCCACTTGGGCTGATAATTGAACATTTAATTAATCACACGGGGGGGTACGCGGTACGGGCCATCGAACAACAGGACGATCCGCCATTGTCCGGCTAATTACGAAAAACCCTGGGTTATTTGTCGGCTGGACGAGCAACGTTGCAACGTTGTTGCTTCGATTCTGAGCGACCGGGCTGCGAATGTTGATCATCCGGTATTTGTAGTCTGGGGTGGTGGACAATTGGACGTGTATTTTCAGTGATATTCGTATGGAAGTTTCGAGAAAACTCGGGTCACCTGAGATTTTTGGAACATTAAAAAATGCTCCGAAATAAGGAGATACTAATACTTCAATGATTGGTAGAACTATTATTTAACTGAACTATCGATTTTCAAATAGCCTGTATTTACCGATATTTCGGTCACTCGATTAGTTGACGATTCTGTTGTTCTTGAAAGGTATCGAAAACAGAGTTGTTCCAGTCCTGAATCATCCTGTATTTGCGAACGATTAGCATAGCATATCTCGACAATGGGGCCGGTGTATCGGCGGTGAATTCGCGAGCGTATCGAGGACACGAATTTTCCAGGTATTGGAATCGATGTTCTTCTTAATAAACGGTGCGCTGGATGAGTCATTCGCTGATTCACGGCGACAACAATACCGAAAAGCCGGATCGATATACCGCGACCGACATCCTTTCCATTCACGATGATTATTTCTTGCGTTCTCCTGTCCCACTAAAAATCGTCCTTCTTGCTTCGTTCCTCGCTACCGCAGTCGGAATTCCAGCTATCCGGGACGATAGTAAAAAAAAAATCACAACATACCATTCCTAAAGACGAATTCC